ATCAGCACAGATATTTGCACAAAGCCACAAAACTGTACCAGCTTTACTTCACCTAGCTTCTGAAAACTTTTGCTGTGCCAGTCTCCCTTATGTTCAAAACCTATGCAAAATGCTAGTCCTAAGTGCTTGTGGCAATGTAATTCAGAGTTTTTCTGAGTTTTGAAGTACTATTAATGTCCCTGTAATCTTTCATTAAAATAGGTCTTGTTAGCATTTTCTGACACTCTATTTTATTAGAATGAAGGTGTTTTATATATTGTTTAGATTTTCATCATTAATTTCCAGCAGAGGGCAATCTTGCTTCTAGGTAGGTTGCTCCTTTGTGACGTTAACCCCCTACTAAACAGCCATCCCCTTTGAATTTCAAATGGAGAATTGATCCAAGGGCACAGACAGCATTTCTTTTTCCTTGTCATTTACTTAGTATTTTTTTCAGATGCTTCCAGAGCCTATTTGCTTACCCGAATCTTAGAAACTGCACAAAAAAACATCAGTATGGACCTTGATCCATCATCTAGTCTATCTTTTTTTCAAGACAGGATTAACTATACTACAACAATTCTTGACTTCTTGACTGATACTGTTTTTAAAAATCTTTAATGGGGGTAGATGTACCACCTACTTGGACTATCTATTCTAGTTCTTACCTGTCCTCACAGGTAGAAACACATTCTTTAATTTCCTTTGCTCTATTTTAAATCTAGTACTTTTTATCTGCAGTAGACATGAAAACAATTGTTTAGTTATTAAGTGAAATGGGAGAATTACTCTCTGTTGCTGCAAAAAAGAATCTCACACTAGCACAGGTCAGATAAAACATCCTTCTAGCAAACTGTGTCTGAACACAGAGCACTGACATTTCTGACAGACTACCTACCTTACTTATTTTGTTTATTAGTTCTCATGTCCTGCACAGCTTTTTTTTTTTTTTTTTTTTTTTTTTTTCCCAGAGATTCTGTTTTCCTGATGCCACTATCCTCATCTGTTTGTTTTCCGGACGTCACAACCACCTCAACCACCTTGTGTCGTAGTCTGTCTCTCTCACTCAAATCGCAGGAGTCATGTGTGACCTTTCTTAAGCTTTTGTCATGACTAAGATCACAGCTGGTTGATATTACACAGCAACTGATTCGCCCACCCAACTGAATCATGGACTGCCTACAAATGATTAATGAAAGGCTGTTTTGCTAATACAATTAGAGACAAAGATCAGGAAGATAGTTATGTCAACACTTGTCAGATACAGAGAAATTGCTTTTTTGAACTCAGCATGACAACAGCAGCACAGCAGTTGGCTACTGATACCACCCCCGGCTTTAAACTAAGTTTTCTTGGAGTTGGTAGAACTGGCATAACATTTCAAGTAGTTCAAATCATTTCAAACCTTCATGGTGTGATAAAGTGGTGGCTCTTTGGGTGCAGGGTATTCTTCCTTTCCAAACTCGCTGCCCAGGATGCATGAGGAGAGGTCCGGTTTACAGATATACATTTGCTACAGCTTTAGGAAAATGCTATGAATTTGTTCAAACTTTGATGAACTCTGGCTGCTCCTGTCTGGTTTTGCACAAATGAGGCTGTGTTTTGAACATCTGCTGATGACTTACCTAAACCTCACCTGAAACCTGAGACACTAAGGCTTCTGCAAAACAGTATCTGAACCATTCTTACTAGTCAGGTTACTAGATGTGTCATTTGTAAAATGCAATTCATGCTTTAATACACTAGCTGGTGCTCTACACTAAGCTGTGAAATGTTTGGGTATGAAATCCCGTACTGGTTTGTATGGGTTTTATACCCGCTTTTTTCATTGAGCTTTCATTTCAGGAAAAAATACAGGATGAGAGAGAGGCTGAGCTGGATTTTTCCATGTCTGAGTTCAAACCCTCCACCAGCTGTCAAGGCTTTTCAGCTTTGGCTCAAGTCAATGTGTGTGTGTGTGCAAGCACGTGTGCGTGCAGGGGGAGGAATGCTCACTTAGACAAGTTTTGAATCACTGGCATATGACATCACATAAAGGAAGAGAGCTCACAAAAATGTGAGAAGGATAGAATTAAAACGGAAATAAATTTAGAATTCCAAAGTATTAATTGAAACTATAAAAATAGCTGTTTTCCACCATACTACATGGTGGCATTGTTTTGATACTTCTCATTGCTAATCCAGCTGAAATCAGTGAGCCTGTACACTTAGCAAACAAACTTGCTGGAGCCCACATGAAATAGTCTGCTTGTCAGGTGTGCAATGTCTCACACTAGTTTTGGGCAGGAGGAAGAAAAGAAAAATGGGAAAATTACTCTCAGTTGTGAAGTAAACGAACAGAATCTTGCTCTAGTATAACATGAGTAAAACATCTCTATAACAAGCTGAGTTTGAATACTGCACAATGCCATTATTGACTGACAAGCTATCTTACCACTTCTAATAACTTTAAGATCAAGCTACTTAATTATGTTTTAATAAAGAAATAACAAAAAATTAACAGCTCCTAAACATAAAGAAGATTGTAATATTTGAAAGTCACCCACTAAAAATCAAATCAAATGTGTAGGTATCATCTCACCTTATGGGTGTTTTCTATCTCCTTGTGCCTACCAATAGTATGAGCAGAACAGATGCTTGGAAAGCGAACTGGCTCTTAGTTAGATTTATTGGCTATTATTGTCAAAGATGCATTTCAGGTTCAATCCATGTATGCACAGCCTGACTACAAGATGCTTTTCCATTTCTCTTTCCTCTGCATCCAGTACTTTGTCCCATCTTCTCCTGTCCCACCCTGGTTCTTGCTCTGAAATACTCTGATTGAAGCTGCTACTTACATGATTTTGAAAGGTACTATTATCCCTTCATATACTTGGCCAGCTGAAAAGTTTACAAATGTATATATCTGTGAGCATGGGTCAAGGAAGATCTTGTGGTCATCTTAACTTTACACCGTGGGGGGTTTTACCATAAGGCTATAGGAAAGATGCAAAACCCAAGGATTTCCTGAGTTCAGAGAGCAAAATGCTGTTCCAGCCCATCTCAGCCAGAACTGAGGGCAAGAGGGAGATTCCCTGGGAAATTGAATCCTCAATACAAATGTCTTTTGAATTCAAAGGGATGTCTTGCTATCTGATGTCATCCATATACATGAAAGGAAAATGAGACCCTCGCAGAAATAAGAGCTTGACATGAGTATATTTGCAAGAATCCTGCTAAGCTCCATGATCTTCCATGACAAAAGGCAAATACTATTTTATGAAGATTTTCATTGATCCAGGAACTGACAAGTCTAGGCAGGGACTGTGTTGATATTTTTTGGTGAGATATACACCAAGGTGAGGAAGGAGGGAATGCAGTCCACTTTTCAAAAGACTTACAGATTGGTATGAGCCCCCTTTGGTTGGCCTTGCTACTGATGTCCAGGCTGGATGGGAAAAACTTGTTTCAGGGCCATAACTAGGAAAAACATATTATGAGCCAGTCTATCATCTGTACTGATAACATTTCCACATTTCTTTTGTGTGGATTCTATAGTGTTAAGGACTTGCTAGAGGCTGTCAACTTGATAGGATATACACTAACAACTCATATATACAGTCCATGGAAAGTCATGAAAGCCTTAAGAAACCAAGAAAAAGCTTTGGATAGCAGACGCAATAATCCCCTGTACAAACCTGTAGCACTGCATTTGCTTAACACTGCATGAAGAAATCAGAGAGACTTCAGAAGGAAACGCCTGATCTGGATAGATGTTGGGCTGACAGTCACTTGATGGCTTGGTGTTCAGATCTGAGGGGAACACCCAGAAATCCTGGGTGCTACTGTGGTCTCTGAGCCTCCAACCTTTTTTGCATGGACACATTGGAAATACCATAGATAAGAAAGGTAATGTAGCTAAGATATTAAGTTGCTCTGTTTTCTTATCCTTTTATTTCTAGCATTATACCTCGAAGTCTGTCCTGCACTGCTCATGTTAGAGGTGAAAATGGAGAAAATTTAGTGAGGTAGGAGTACCAAATGTTTTCAGTTATGGCATAATCAAATAAAACAGGCAGTGTGAGCAGCCTGAGAAACATACAAATCAAAACATATTTAGGGGACCAGCACCTGGGGAGCTATTGTTATTGGCAGCATCCCTACCTTATCTACCAATATTTTTTTTTTCCTTAAAAGTAGAGGACAGAATGACATGCACAACTCTTAGTAAACCATAAGATATTTTAGTATCTCATTGTGAAACACTTTGTGTCAGCATTGCTCTGACTCTTCTGAAAGGCTAGTTCTGCTTTGGCACTGTCCAGATTAAAGAAGAGAAAAACAACTCTGTGAAAGCCAGCTCTTCCCCTCAAAATCCCAGGTGCAACAAGTCCCACTCTGCCTTTGATCTTTTTCTCTGCTTGGTAGGATTTTCTCCAATGTACCTCAAGTCTGTGATCATTGAACGTTCTAAAGAGGAAATCAATGGGCATAGATTTACAATTCTTCAGCATAAGTTTTTAGAACTGAATTATATTTCAGTGAAATTCATTCTCTGCAGGGAGTGAACAAAAATCAAGTTTGGCCTATTAGTGTGACCCATAGTTCCCACTGAAGTCAGGGAGAGTCTGGGAATGGAAAGAATAAAGTGTCCATAATCAATGGGTCTAGTGATATTACTATAAGAACCAAAAAGATTAAATGTAGGTCCCAATGGAAATGAAAGCGTTTGGGGTACTATATGGCAACTGTAGTGGTCAGTGTAAACTGAGCTGAGTGTCCCCAGGGAATAATTTAACCCTCTATTTTTATTCATATATAGAGGTAGAAAAATAAAAGAATCAAGGAAGTTAAAGAAAATGAAGACATTATCCAAAGGCATAATTGTTTGTACTGTACCTCCAGCACAGGGCAACAGCACGTGGGAAGGATTGAAGATCTGCACTCAATACTTTTGTTAATTCTTTCATCTGCTTTTAACAGTGTGAAATGCTGATTTGATTGTGCAGGCAGTGAAAACCATGGCTAGAGGGATGCAGGGACAGATCCTCACCACGGTGCTTGGCAGCCCCAGACCCAGGTACACTTGTGTGGCTTGCTGTGCTTCTGCTTCCACTCAAGGCTGCTGAGGTCCACAGAGAACCCCTTTGCCTCCTTGCTGATGGAGCGGGAAAGCCCAAACAGGAGCAGGAATATCAGGTGGCAGCACAGAGCCCTGTGCCCAACGGACCCCTTGGCAGTCTCAAAATGTAATAACATAACTAGCATTCCAGCTGAGGTGCAAGAGAAATCAGCTTAAGGATTAGCTCTTGCTCCTCTTTCCCGTTGCCATGCAGGGATGACAGTAGGGGTACTCAGGCTGCAGATTTAGTGCTTGGGAAGTGCTGTGTTTTGGACACTCCTTGGGGTTATTCAACTGGAAGTGGACAACTCCTGGCTCTCCCTTCCCACCTTCAGTAGTATGAGTAGGAACTTGCAGTAGCAGGATTTATTAAATCCATTAAAATAGCATAATAGGCTATTCCTGACTGAAAGGGGCACAATAAGGCCTGCTGTGTCTCTGAAGATGTTTTATAAAGGGCAGAATCATGATGAGTTTGTCAGAAGGTTGCTTATGGTGACGGAGCTCTGATCTGCAGCCAGGAATTGCAATGCAGGATGCTGCCTGTGAGTTCTTGCAAAAAGCACACCAGACAATCACCCTTTGACTTCCGTGTGCCCAGCCAAGAGTTTCTTAGTTGCAAAAATGAGAGCTTAATGAAAAATCATATTTTAGGGTCAAGTCTAATCTGCCTCTGAACAAAAGGACAACAAAGCATTCCCAAAAGTGAGCAGTGCTCTGCAGTAACATCCCGTGGTTTATCCTCTCCAGTCTGCTTTATTTTTCCATTTGAAAAGGATAATGATTGGAAGCCTATCTGAAAGCCAAGGTTACAGGCACACAACAGTAAGATTGTGTAGCCATCCAAAATATCATTGGCTTAATTAGAGCTGAAATTTTCTGGGCCCCACGGAACTTTAAGTCTATCCTGAAAAATGTAAGGTGAATAAACTTGCGTAGGAGATACCTGGTGATGTCAATAATTCATGATAACGTTGGTCCTGACTAGAACCACACTTGCAAAGGCATGTAGGGTGAATATACGGCCCCTCTCACAGGGTTTGATGGGCAGCAGCAAGACCTGGGTTCAAATTTAATGCTGTTTGGAAACCTGAGAAAATTTTATGCTAAACTCCCTGGTGCTCACAGAGCTGATTTTCCCCAGCTGCATGTTTGATTCACATAGCTAACAATCTTTCACTGACAGGAGAAAAGTATGAAGGTAGATAAGGAAGGTAATAATAATTAATTCTTAAAGTGCAATTATACCAATAATCATTTACATCTCCCTCACTGGAATGAAAACAAATGTTTGCTTTCCCTCTCCTCTGTGACCTGTCTAAGTTTAAAACACCAAGTCCTGACCTAAGCAAAGCTCTCTGTTGGCATATACTGGGGTGCCTCTGCCTGAAATCCTGTCTCACTGGTCCTGTCTGGCACTTCTCCCCTCCCTCCACTGGGTGATGGCTGCTGTCCATGGCCACCGCTCGGGACACTCACTCTCTTTGTCCCTCCAGCACCTGCTTTAGGTAATTCCCACAGTTCGGTCTCGGTGTCATTATTCTGGGTTTTGTAAACAACTGTTTGAGCATCACCACAAGGGAGAGTCTTTAATGGCTATCACCTTGGAAGAAAATTTTGAACCTAGTCTCACCTTACTCTTTTTGGGCTCCAACATCTGCATCCCAGTCCTGGAGTTCCTACCTCCTGTTACAGGGATCAGCCAGGCACGGCGCTAGCTGGCCTGTGCTTCTGCATGTTATAGAAGGTACTCACCTTTCTCTATCTGATGAATATAATTTCCTTTTTAACAGAAATTCTTCACAAACACGATAACACAGCACAGACAGAATAAGCATGTTTCAAGCTGTCTCATAGCTCATTTTCACTTATTCCCTCTTTGGTCCACCACTAGTCACACATAGTGTTCTTTCTTGTTTGAGATCCAATCCCTTACTGAATTTTGAGGCGATCTATAAAGGTTTTACATTCATTTCAGGCCTTATCCAGGTTTGCAAGTGTATCTCCAAACTTTTTAGAACAGCAAAAATGCTGGTGTTCAGTTCCAAAAGTGAGTGAAGTTTTCAGAAGCAACTCTCCTATTCTTAGAAATATACAAGGAAAAATCTTATTCCTCCACGCTGTGAAACCGTGTGGAGGAGAAAACAATCCTAGCCATACTCTTTTTTGTTTTTTAGGTCTCTTAATTCTTGAAAGCATTTATAAAAGAGAGAGAAATTTACTTTTCTTAATGACAGATTAATGCATCTTTAAATTGGGCATTGGGATGGGAAATATTCAAGAGACTTAATATTATTAATGGTTATCTCTGACCATGATAATTTAAGATATAGTAACTTACTTTAGTTACTATGAGGATTTAAAGTATCTGTTACTCAGATACTCAGTGTTCTCATGTTGTAATAAATACAAGGCTCACTCCAGTAAGAACATGGCAGAAGCTACATCACTGTTGTAATAGCTGAGTCTGCAAACACGGAACTGTTTTGTTCTATAAACAGAATGAGAAGTCTGCATAAATCCACACCTCATATTGTCCACAGAAACAAAACCTTGACAGTTTTATAACATACCTTGGGGCTGGTGGGTGACTGATCCTGGGAGACACTAAAGACCTTTCCCTTACATTGATACAGAAACTGGTATTAAATGCAAACTACTTTTTTGATGTTGTTGAATTATGCAAATGAATGAAAAAGCACCGTATAGCGTATAGTGAGAGCAAGCTGAACTGCTGTGTTTGTGTTGTAAAGTTCCTGTATTACATATAAAGATCTTAGGGTTTATTCATCTTTTAAGGAGGCTACCATCTTCAATTATTTTTCTGGCAGGAAAGTCCTTCAGAGTTAATGAAATAACTTTGCTGTTATTTTTGCTGTATTTCAGAGCAGATAACAATAGCCTTCACGGTGTCCATGGTGGTTGGACTGGTGATTGGAGGAATCATCTGGGCTCTCTTCACTTGCTTGTCCCGCCGCAGAGCTAGTGCCCACATTTCCCAGGGGAGCCCCTCAGCCTTCAGCCGTCGGTCCAGACCCTCCTCCCATGGCCACACTACTGGCAGGACTGGGTTTTACCGCAACAGCAGCTGTGAACGTCGGAGCAACCTCAGCCTGGCCAGCCTCACCTTCCAGCGGCAAGCCTCCTTGGAGCAAGCCAACTCTTTCCCCAGGAAGTCAAGCTTCCGTGCGTCCACCTTCCACCCTTTCCTGCAGTGTCCTCCCCTCCCCGTGGAGACGAACAGTCAGCTGATCACCCTCACTCCCACAAATACCACCACGACCCTCGTGGGAAGCACCACCAACAGCTTAAGCCGGCCTGAATTCCACTGGTCTAACAACAGCCTCCGCATCTGCCACTCCACACAAACCCCTCCTCCCGCCTATGAAACCATCATAAAAGCTTTCCCAGACTCCTGAGCTAGGTTCTTGCTGCAAACACGCACTTGCATTTTAGGAGGAACCTCATTCACCTCAACAATTTTCTGTGCGTGATGAAGATCTCTGAGAAGTCTCCAGCTGCTGTTGTGGAGGGGACACACATTGCCAAAGGCGGTAGCGGCAATTTCTTAGAGCACAACATCCCACTGTCCAAAGGACCACTTGTCTTTGTACTGCTCTTTAATTTACTACTCTGCCATATGCTTGAATATTTATAGTGTTGTATCTTTAATTGTAACCATTGTATCTTTACTTTAGAGGAAAGAAAATGCTGCCGCATAAAAAATAGATCTTTTCTTGAAGAAACAGATCATGTTAGGGATTACTGATATACACATTTCTGCAGATTTCACTATTCTGGTTCTGGTTTTATGTATTTTCCCAAGGATGTTAAATTTTCAGAGAACACTTCTCATCACTTCTTCCTATAACCACAGACCAGCTTTTGTGAAGGAACCTTACAAACAGACCTTGTTGAGGATTTAACATTACAGTCCCGGCTGTGGTCACCCACATCCTGTGCTGCTGATTGTAGAGGATCTTAAAAAACTCCATGTTAGGGCTGCTTGTATAAAATACCCCACAATGTGGAAAAAATGTTGAAGTATACGAAGCTTCATGTGGAGAGACGTTTCAACCAACGTACTACTGCATGATAATAATTATAAAGAATTTTCTGTATGCAGCCACCAGAACAGGTAGTCACATTTTAATAAGCAGCAAGGCTGTATGCGAGCAGAAATCCTCATGTTTCATTTTTCTAGTTCTGGTTATCAAGATAAGCAGCATAAGTGACAACTATTTTTTTAATTAAGTTTCCTGTTTTGCTATGGGATTACTCATTTCCTTATTTCAAATTGTTTTTCTCGAATTGTACCAACATTTAATTCTTCCTGGCAAATTATTCACTGAAATCTTGTCTTTCACCAAAGTAAGACTTTAGACATCTGTGGCTGAATACTGGGACTGTAAAATTAGTTGGAATATGAAGATAAAGATGGAATATTTAATTGAGGTTAGCATATATTCTTGACTCTTATCCGTGTATCTTGTCAAGCTAACCCTTGGCTTAGTAGAGACTAATTGCACTGATGTGAGAGAAGTCCAGAATTTGGAAACAGCACAGACAAATGGAGCCTGATTTAAGTCTTATTGTATCATTTTCCTGTTAAATATTTCATGTTCAAATAAATGGTAAAGAATTTCCACAAGTAGAGGAGCAGCCCCACTCCTCATCTACAAATAAACCTGTTGTTCCTAAAAGGGCTGGGCATCTACCGACTGCCGGACTCCTGATCCTGAGGGGGCTGGTCCCGTGCTTCTGTAGAAAGAAGAAGTCCTCATCTGTCTCCTGGGAGGGACAAAAATTCAACAGCTTTTGAGAATAGGCAAAATGTTTAACATCTTACTTTCCAGGCTTTTGGAGACTGGCAGCATGCATCCCTCTGCTGAGCTCAGCATCCTCAGGAAGCACTGGTATTGATCTCTGAACTGCAATCTTCCAGGCCATATCACCCCATTTGCAAATATTACTACAGACACTGAGCTTACAAGCATTACTTACTGCAAACCACAAGTATTCCTTATTGTAAAGGCAAATTATTTTGCATGTATTTACTGTCTGGCTTTCATTGTTTTATTTCTAGCGTTCAACATTTTCCCTTCTGGAGAGATATATGTCATTGCTAAAAGAACAGCTACTTACAAAGTTTACAGAGGATTTCACTGCAGACACTATGGGTTCTATTACATGAGGAGTTGCTGATAAGACTGCAAAAATGCATGTGGATAGCTGCAGGCTACAAACTTAAAAGAATAGTCCTCTGGGGAAAGAAAATTGTGTTATTTCGTGCATTAATAATATTTTTTTCATTTAGAGTCTTATTGAGTCTGGTGAACTTCATTGCATGCACAAGTGTGTTCACAGTGTCCTAGCTCTGGAATAGGTGATGTCGCCTATTCTAATGTGCATATGAAAAGAAGAATTCAAGCCTGCTCCCTTTGCTTATTGAGTTGGACAGACTGTTTGAAGAGTCAACTTGGCCTACCGTGTGTACCCAGCTGGCCAAAACTTCTTGTTCCTTGAGAGTGAAATGGTTTTAGATGAGTAAACTTTTACTCCTGGATTGTAAATGCACATTACATTACTGTAGAACTTTCCACAGCATATTATTACTTGTATTATACTATATTTAGCAAACAATGTAGAAAGGGAAGTTTAAATGTACTGTATTTTTTTCCTCCTGAAATCTGTACTGGATAACAAAACATCTTTTTATGTCCCCTGGATTAGGGAGATTAAAAACACAGATTGGTGCATAACCAGTATGGCTGTCGGATACCTAACTACTAGTTTAAACAAAATCTGAAATGAATGTTTTACAAGCACTCTGGAAGCTTCAGAATGTGAAATAAAGTTAGATGTTATAATCTCAAGCTCACGTTTTTCATTAAATATAAATACGTGACTTGCATAAAAAATCCTTTAAAGGGAAGGGTATTCTCTTTCATTGTTCAAGCTGATATAGTTTAAAGTGTGAATGAGGACTTGGTCCTTTCTCTGCTCCTGTGGGGAGACACCCCAAAGCTGAAGATGTTATGTGAAGCCAGAGTCAGAATTTTCCATGTGAGAACACCTTCCAAGGATTGCAAGTGAGAATGTCTCTCATAAATAACAGCGTTTACAGATTTAAAATCCACTTGCTTCCAAGTATGTAGACTTCAATCCACAATGTGTTTGAGCAAATGCTTGCTTTAAGCAGATAGGCAATCACTATAAGGTTCATGCTTAAGTGGACTCATGGACATTTTATCACATTAGGACCAAAACACATTGCACACCATCAGCACCCAAACTGAACTGTAGGATCAAGAATCATCAGGTGTTTGATATGCAAAAGATTATACTTGTTGATTGTGATGGTCCTTTCTAGCCTTTTATTTCGATTTGAAATACTGGAAAGAAGAGCTGAATTACTGCAGATTTCAAGATTGCAAAGTATTCACAATTATTTAAGCTTCACAATAATTTCGCATGTAATAGATTTTCACAGTGAGAGGCAGTGATTAAAAGGATGCTCCCAGAATCACACAGGAAGAGACAGGCAGAGCTTTGATCAACTTCCAGATATCCTGATACCTTGTCCTGAAGTGAGCAGAGCTACTTTTTCTCTTCATACAGAGAAACACTATTCTATTATTGTTCATGTGCACAAAAACAATTGCTCCAGTTCTGGTTTCATATAGAAGACAAAACCTGACAGCCCTCTGTCTGTGAATAGTTGCATTCCAGCATATTTACAAAAGCTGCTCATGATATATTCATTGACTTTTCCCTACTGAGGAACTGTTGATCACCTCTTCAGACAGCTACCGATTATCATACTGCAACACACTGAACATGCAGTATCTTCACCAAATTAAATTTTTAAAGTTCACTTGCAATTTACCATGAAGTTTTTGAGTCATCTCAACATCCATTCTTAAGTATAAACTGAAAACTACATTTACTGGAAATATCCTCTCAGAGGTGAAATGACACATGCCAGATCCCTGACCTATAGGTACTTGATAAAATTAGGTGATGTCTATGATGCTGTACAGCTTCTGGAAAAAAAAAAAAAAAAAAAAAAAAGAAAGAAAATGCTAATTGGAAATTTACCTCTGCCAAGTCCAGAGCAGATTAAAGAAAACAGCACTGATATAACGTCACAAAGCAGAGAACAGAATTCTAGTTTTAAAACTCAGCTAAAATACCTATACCTTCATTTGGGTCTCTTAATAAGAGAGAGTTTTCAAACGGGTTGAGTGTTTGGAGTTCATGTATGACTTTGTGAGGAATTATTTATTTAACTTTTTGAATGCTGATAAGGATGCCAGGACACTAATCTCTTTTTCAGCAGAATATTAATAGTGATCATGGTTGTCTTGGTATTTTTAATCCAGCTGGACTAGAGAGTTTTGAGAAAGCTACTGCAGCACTCAACAGGTGAACTACTGCTCCCAGCAGCTTTTTTTAAGCACACAGGGCAACAAAGAGGAGATGTTTCTAGCTTGATTTTCTGCCTCACATTGTAGCAGCAGCACCAGTGACCACTGAGGATCTCTGGCCTTGCTGTGCTAGATGGGGTCTGAATGTTATTCTGTTCGTTATTCCCTCAAACAGTTTTCAGACTGAGGAAGCAGCTTGAGAGAGAAATCTGGCTTGTGTGTCTCATTTCTTCTTTTAACTTCTACAGGAGCTTTTGGCTTCCCATCAAATTTCTGATGACGTTACTGCATGAGGATGGCCGTGTCTGATGGGCACGGACTGGATCGTGGAGCAATTTCAGTAAACATGTTTGCTGTCTGCTTTCCTGGTGACATTCTGCATCAGAGACATGTTTTCATCTATTTAGCAGCAGAATCAAGTGATTGTGTGCTGGGCACTGTGAAGGAGCAGTTGCACTATTTTAGAGCAAGGAGTTCTTCTAAACAAAAGTAGCTTAATCATGAAAGGGATTGCGCACAGTGATGGGACTGAGCAGGAAATTGGATTTGCTGATTTAGGACATAACTGTCTGATGTGCCTATAACTAGGGACAGTATGGAAAGGCACTGGAATGCAAAATTATTCCTATCTAGTTCAGGGCAGATCTGTATCCATATCGATCCACTTTATTTTATGGCAGCACATTGATGACTACACAGGAAAGGTGACGTTGCTGACTTGTTCCAACTTGACAAGAGCACAAATCACAGCTGGAAGTAATTTTCATTTCTTTGGACATGTATGGAGAAGCTGTTGATGATTATCTGTGCATTGAAATGGGATGAATCTTCAGCCTCTAGACTGACCAGTATAGGGCTTGAGTTGAAGCAGACTGGAGAGGTAAGGAGGAGACCCATTCTCTGCCCCTGCTCTGTTCCTGTGCTGTGGATCTATCCTGGTGATCTTGTAAAGTTATTTTTGTAGGAGAGAAGAATTCCCTTTAACCCATTTCTAGAGGGATGGTAGAATCTTTTTTCTCATTTAGTGATTCTCTATTTAGTACCATGGTAAGTTCCATCTCTCTCTGTGGATAAGTATGGTGAAAAAAATACACAGGTCTTCACTCTAT